CCCTAAAATAATGCAAAAATAATAAGGTACAACATGAAGAGGAGAGTTTGGTTTTATTTTGTTTTCCTTAATAACTTGTCTTGATAAAAGTAATAGTGTTGACACTAAAAAAAAAACTTGCCAATGTGGGAGAGACACTGAAATACACTGTGAAGCAAAAGGCATTTTCTCCAGGTCCCTTAAACTTCCAAAAGGTTAGTGAATAACCTTAGTGTAAGTATCAAGTCCTGACTTCCTGCTTGAATAATGAATGATACTTTATTATATTCTTGGAAAAAGTAGAAACCTATTTACAGCAGTTTTACAACAAAGCAAATTTCTAAGGTTGCTATTTAAATGCAAACTAATGATCAATGGCAGAACTTCAAATATAACAGAATAAACCTTTTAAAACTGTCTTTTTTATTTCTAATCTTTATTGAAAGCTTTTATATTCATTTCTCAGGTGCACACTTGTCAGTTAAAATTAAATGTTTGTAATTCTAAGTAGAACATGTAAGTGACCATCAAATTCTTACAGAATTTCTATGGTAGACGTAGAACAAAGTAAAAAATACAGTCTCAGAGATTCTCATTTGTCATCGGTCAGCTTAAATGTAAACAAGTTTCCGAGAATGACTTCTGACCCATTCCTGTTTAGCTAATCTTTCTCAATTTTAAAAAAATGCATTTGTACATTTTCTGCCTGCTCTGTTGAAGAAAACATTCCTTTCTGACCTTTGCAAATGATCCATTTACATTCTGAAGCATAAGATTTCATTATCCTTTTCTTAGTAGGCATAAGAGCCAGGGTTAGTAGCCATGAAATTATTCAATGCTTTAAGAATTCTGGCTACAGTATCTGACTCTCTAACCTCTTTAAGGCTGACTGCACACAGTGTATGACATTTTCTTTTATTTCCTTTAATTTAGTTGTTGGAATGATGTATCATTTCATTTGTATGATGAAAGAAAAAAGGAAGATCTCAATTGCAGTCTCCTCTTCATCCTAAATAACTCAAAAGCAATGCTAAACACTTTTCAACATGAAATGCATTACACCAGCATTCATTCTTTCAGAAAAGTCCTTCAGAATTCAGCTTTAGTTAAAATTTTTAAACTAAATTCTCCATTATGCTATAGCATGATCAATTAATACATACCTCGATATTGGTTTTGTTGTTTTGATTTGTTTTAACTGAGTCAGGTTTAGTAAACTTTGTTCCTTATTACTTCCTTTACCCTGGTAAAGTCTTGTCTTCCCAGTGCCTTCAAATATTAGGCGCTTGCTTACTCTAATTACATGCCTATGAAATAGTTTTCCCCATTTTAGAATTAGAAACTGAGGCATAATGACTAAGGAATTTAGCCAAGATTGTGCAAAAAGCCCGTGACAAGGCAAGGACAGATTCAAGTGCTATGCCATTACCTTAGCTTATTGGAAAAATCCCTATTCTGAAAGAGAAAAGCTTTTCAACCAGTGCTTTCTGCCACGGATTCAGTAATCTAGGAATTCCCCAAACAATATATGCAGCATTTCTAGTGTCACAACAGAGGACTGAAAGTGCAAGTCCTATTTAAATATCTCTATGTCATCCTGCTCATTATTTGGCTTTGCAGGGGGAAAAGTAAGTCTATAGTATGCCAAGTTTTAGTGACAGTTATTGGAAGTTGGGGGCTTTTTATATATATAAATAGTATTTAAACTTGATTAAAAAGTTAATTTTAATCAGATTGATGTTTCACATCTCATCTAGGTCAAATTAATTCAAATTTATCTTCCTTTCTTTTAATAGCATAATCACAGCTGTAATACTACATAGTGTATTTACCCCATGAGGTTGAGATTGGCTTCAAAACAACATTTTATGTCTAAACTTCTTATCTGATGTGCTAAAACTTTAATTCTAGGCAACACATCCATCTAGACTAATGGCATATTGAAATGCAAAGAAGCTTTCATTTCTTGGGCTCCTGTATATTTTCTGAGATGTTCCATATAATTTTCCGTGGCGTATCTGCAGTTCCATATAATTTTCCCACGTATCTGCAGTTTGCCTTGTGCAAAGTTGTGTCACTGAACGTAGATGTCCTGCTTGCTGCCCCAGCACAGCTCTCCAACAGGAACGCTGGTAAGCTGCAGGAGAATTTGCAGTTGAATTGCAAGAAATCCCTCTTCTCCCTTACAATGGAGAAGGGAGCAATTGCAAATGAACTGTAGGTATATGGCCATCATAGCAAATCTTGTGAATGTGTCAGAGTAGCTGCTCCCTGCCCTTTTGTACATATTAAATGTTGTCCATAATGATGCCATATTTTCTATTATTAAGCTGAAAAGAAGGTTTCCAATGGGCAGTGTTACCTGGGTACCATTCTTAAAATTCTTGCAGTTGTTGGCATTAAGCTGGCATGGTCCTTGGGTGCTAGTGACTCGGTGGCTGATTCCGCACAAGCAGCTGTGCCCCACTGCGAGGAGCTTCTCCGGCAGCACCTGGCCAGCAGGAGGCTGCTCCTTAGGCTGCTCTCAGCCAGCACCAGGCAAGGTGAGGTGGAGGGCTCAGGCTACAAGGTGATCTATTTTCATCTCCTTTTTTGACCCTGTTTTAAATCTTGAAACCGCTATAAGCAGCTGCTGTTGCACATCCCACAGGACAGCCCCTTTTTGTGATAACAGAGAAGCCTGAGAGCGTATGGGGAGCTTCTTCCTACTAATGAAAGTAGGGAGCCGCGCGGGGACATAATTCAGGGAAGTGGAACCATGAAGTAATCATCCTTGTGCAGCAGTTCAACATTATCATCAGCCCATAAATAAATTAGTTTGTCCCCAGTAAAAGGAAACAAGGGCTGAATAGCTGCTGTCCCAGAAAACAGGTAAGGAGCTTTTACAGCACTCGCATACAGGCACTGTCCAGAGCCTTCCCATTTGGACTTAACGCATCAGACGTGTACTGTGGTGTCACATGCCATGCACTTACCTAGCTGTCCCTAGGAATCAGGAGTGGGAGTTTTCTTCATTTGTTTTGTTTTGTTTTTCTCGAAATGATGTTTGGCTGAGTTCTGGCCAGGCTCAGTCATGGAGCTTGGAGGGTTTTTTGCTTCTCCCCATTCCCACTGTTCACTACTACTGTGCAAGATTGGTGCAATTGCTATAGCCAGGAGGATGGACTCTGAAGCAAAATACTGATTTTCAGAATTTGAGCCTTAGAAGAAACACAAGGAAAGGCAAAAAGCAGTTGACTGTAAATATAATCTCAGGAAATGCGAAATGTCTTTGCTTATCTAAGTCTCTTTAATGTTTCCCAAAAGTAATGTGATAAACTTGATGGGTTTTTTTGGTTGGTTTGCTTTGTTTGTTTGTTTTAACAGCACAGAAATGGATCTTCCTCTGCTAAACTGTAGAGAAGTATCTGTGGGAATACTAGTGTCTAGCACACTACATCCTGAATTGATCAGCCAAACAGACTGATCTTCTTGATAGCTCATGCTTTGCATTATATTATTAATACTCCCATATAAATACTTACTGAAATCACTGAAGTCGCAAGAAGCAATTGCTTTGCCTGTATGACAATTTAAAATACTTTTTCTCCTGAAATGTCTAAATGAGAGCTTGCAAGTCCATGTCTTTTGGTTGTGAATTCAGTTGATAGATATCAAATATGATGAATGTTCCATTCTAAATACGGATTGAGGAAAGAGCGTATATGGTGCCATTTGAAGTCCACCTAGATTAATCTGAGTCCAGTAAATGCCTGCAACACAACAGAGATAGTGGAGTGCTAATTTCTGGCAGGTCCTCCCTTGCTCGTGGTGACCTGCACCTTGGCTAGAGGTGGGATCTTGGTTTGGAATCGGGATTCAAAGCACTCCCATGCTCTCCTGCACCTCTTTCCCTATGTGTCCAAGTTAAGGTATTAAATTACTTCCATCCCTTTGCCAGACTTCCCCCACTAGCACCACTGGCTTTCACCACTAGCATTGCAACGTTTGTGTTGCAGTGTTCTCTTCTGTAATTCACAGTCTGTTATTTTCTGTTGCTTAGCTGAGAGGTTATGCCTGAAGTAGTGCATCAGATGTCAAAGCAGTGCAAAAATCTTGCACTCAAAAGATCCTGACTTCATATCTTTGTGTAAAAAAAGCTGTTTCAATTGATCATGTAAACCTGCTCTTGGTGTCAAGGGTCCCTGGAACTTATCTCTGTTAGTCCGGTGGAGGCTGAATTCCCGGAGGTGCCTACGAGGTGATGCGATCGCTCCTTCGCTGCAGCCACGTCACTTGCTAAGAGGCGTTTTAGGAAATGAACAAAGAATCCCTGTATGATCCGAATAAGTTTGCAGGAAATGAAAAGATTACAAGATTTTTACTTAAGTGGAATAATCAGCCACATCAGAACTGGGATGTTAGTGAATCTGTAAATAACTAAGAACACTTTATCTTGTTTCCTTACTGCCGTTTTAGATAACAAAGGAAAATGTTATTTTTCCCCTACATTCTCTCCTTCAGTTCTTTATAATTATAGGCTATCACTAGGACCTACCTTACAACTGCTTTTGCAAGGCAGTAATCCTGCTGCCATTAAATCAATTTGCTGTTTTGGAATTTGCTCATGAGCATCTGTTTAGCTAATTTTTGACACATGAGTAATCAGTAGTTACTGATTATTACAAATAAGTGTGTAGATAGTCTTCTCATCGAATATGAGTTTTTAAATCAATGGGGCAAGAGACTCAACAGACCCAAGTCAAAGTTAGTGTGGACAGGGCGTTTTTTTCTTAACTTGTAAAAAATTGCAGAGCTTCAGTTTAGCATAGACCTAGCACTCAGTAGAAATCCAAAGCTCTTTCCAACTTGAGTGTCCACGAGTAGTTTGGCAATATGGGATTTAGCCTTTAAGAACTAAACAGTTATATGATGTATTTAAAATTTCCTCAATGTTTTTATTTTAGATCTTGAAATGTGTGTTTGTATAGAAAAGCTTTTTCAAATTACTTGGTAAAGCCTGTTTTCTAATTTAATTTCAGCTGGACAGCTCAGCCAGTCAGCACACTTTGCTTTGCAGTTGCCGTACAATGTGCTGGGCTTGGGACGCAGTGCTAATTTCCTTGACCATTTGTATGTTGGCATTCCTCGTCCTTTGGGAGAAAAGGTTAGTTCAGATTTAAGCTTAAATTAAGCTATTACTTATGTTCTTACCTTTCCTAATGAAGTTGGGGTGGAAATACTGTAAGGGACACATTCCACCAGAAGCTCAGAGTAGTAAATTTGAGCATGGGAAAGAGTTTGCAAAAATACAACCAACCACTCCTGGAAAAAGAAAGAGTTTGTATGCACATTGTTGGGAGGGAGCAGCAAGAACAGAAGATGACTGAAGCAGTCTACAGATGTTAGCACAGATCTGTAGTGCTCATTTATATGGTAAAAGTGACCAGTTGTTGTGGTGTCAGCTGAAGGTGTCCCTGGGCTTGGTCTGGCTGACATGTAAATTCACACTGATTTCTGCCTCGGGAAGAAAGCCATGACCAGCGCGGTGGGAGGGGGGAATCACCAGGATTACCCAAACACCAGGTGAAACACAAAAACAGGGCTGCAACCTTTAAAGATTTCACGTGCCTACTTTTAAAAGAGAGGTATTCACACTAGTGTTCTAGTCAGTTTTTGATTTGGATAATTGCTTTGCTGGCATGAAATGTCTTTCTAGCATCACTTCTTTTCTTCGTTCCCTGTAATGTTGCTGCTTTGTACTTTCCAAGTAGAGACTTCATTGCATGTCAGCAAAACTTGTTCTGGTTTTTACTTTTATTCATTTTTAAAAGTGCTTTGGGGCTTTCAGGTTAAAAGGTACTTACAAATGTAAGAGAATAGTCATTTATTTTAAGAAAAAAGAGAGGGGAATGTGGTAATTTTAGCTTTTTTTCTCTCCTTGTTCTATGTTTCAACAGAGAATTTCAGAATACTTTGCTTTAAAGTATGTTGACTTATAAGGAATTGAGATAGCTTTTGTTTTTCTTTCAGTCCATAAGAAAACAGGAATGGACAGCTATCATACCAAACTCTCAACTTATAGTCATTCCATATCCTCACAATGTTCCTCGAAGGTAATTGCATCATTTTGAAGTGCACTTCACAAAACTACATTGTTAATGCAGAGTTTAGGCATCATGTAGGTTAAAATAGAATGTATATAGGAAGTAAATTTAAAAAAAAAAACAAGGGGGGACAAATCTATAGCTATGAATACAACAGAATATTTGTAAAGAATTTATAGAGACTCTTACGTAGTCACCATGAACATATGAAATCAATTACCAGCTCCAAGCCTATAAATAAAATCCTATTTGCTAGATTTACCAGTCTTCTTTCAGATAAATGGCAAGCATGGTAATGGCTGAAGCAGGCATTTTTGTCACATCAAACATACAATTTGTGTCTAGTTTCATTAAAAAAAAAAAAAAAAAAAACTTCAATTCAGGCATTCCAAGCATAATATCTGTTGCCACAGGTATGAATGCCTTTCTTTAAGTAAAGGTGAATGGGTTACCTGCACAAGAGCTTTAGCACTGAGTTCATTTTGTAATTAAAATATCCATCCCTGAAAGTCAACATATTTCTTTCTTTGCTATTAGAGAAAACATTAGTCACATATTCCAGCTGCTTTTTGCCGCTTGATCTACTAGTGAGGTCAGTTGCATTTATCATGCAGAAATGATTTCAACATCAGTTGCGACAGTTAATTTTGCTATAGAACAAATAAGAACTAAGCAGTGAAGTGCCACTTGAGCTGCTAATTAACAACCACAGGAATGAGATTTGCCAGATAAAGAAAATTTATAGTATTGAGGTATTTCAAGGTGTGTTATACAGAAATTTTCTTCATTTTCTTATCCTTAAACTATTTTTGTTTTTTCACTGAAGAAGTTTATGGACACTGTACAATAGTGGAGAATGGATTTCTTCTACTGCAGTACTTCTGCAGAATGGCCAGAATGGCTCTTTTCACAAGATTGAGGTCTGCAAGTTCTCTTGTTTTCAATATAAACCAGTATCCTGGTTGACTACTGAAACTATAGTGTTCAATACAGTACAAACAGCTAAGTTTAATTTCAACTCAAAGCCTCTTTACAGAGAAGTTAAAAAATCTAGATAAAGAAAGCAAGCCCCGGTGGAATGCCTTGTTTGAGAGAGCTGGTGGAAATGCTGCGAGGAGGAAATGGAGATTTGTGTCTCCTGTCTGTCCCCGCTCTCTCAGTTAAATGATCCTTGTAGGAGAGAGCCAGGAGAGCGGCCTCCCTTTGCAAGGCTGCCGCCGGAGCCCAGAGCAGAGCCACAGGCTGCCCTTTCCCTGCGCAGCCTGCCCTGCTGTGAGCCGCAGCTCGGCCATCCGTGCGCGCAACTTCATGGGCACGGAGCTACAGCACAAACCAGTTAATTCCCTCTCGGCCCTTTCTTGTTGACTACTTAATAGAAGAAGTTTCACAGATTTTCCTCTGGAGGTGCAGAGCACGGTATGATGTGGTCTGGTTAAACTATAAAAGGGAGTCCGTGGCGGCAGAAGCCTCATGGAGCAATGCTGAGCACCGCGGGCTCCCTGCACAGGGCTGCTCAGGGAAGCAGCTCCGGGCAGCAGGACAGGCTGACAGGCCAGAAGCAGCCTTGAGACTTCCTTGTGCTGCAGCTTTCTCCCCAGCTGCTCCCCTTGAGCCTCTCCCTCATGTGGAGGGAATAAATAACCTACCTTACCCAGATAGCTCATGCTGCCTCTGCAGCTCCCCAGGCCCCAGGCACTTTTGTACAAATTTCTCTTATGCATTTTATTTTTTTCCACTGGGAGAAAAAAATGGATAAATGTAATGAGTCAAAAAAAGTCCCTGAGGATAGCCATAGCACTCCTGGGTAGCTCAACAGAAACTAAATTTAGACATGGCGTTGCCTGAAATTAATTATATTAAGACATATATTTCTAAGCAAACACTATTAAGCACCAGTCTGCAAGTACAGTCGCTAGTAACTGTCCACTGTCATAGGCCATCTTGCATTAGCAAGTTCTTTTTGTTTTTATAAATTAAATCTATTTCCTGCTTCCTAATGAAAGGTATTAATGTTTCCTTGGGTTTTGCTCTTCTGTGTATGTAGCTGGAGTGCCAAACTGTACCTGACCCCGAGTAACATTGTGCTGCTAACAGCTATTGCCCTAATTGGTGTCTGCGTTTTTATCCTGGCAATAATTGGCATATTACACTGGCAAGAAAAGGTAAGTTCAATTAACTGTTTTTTTTTCTGTATTTCTATACTAGTTAGCATTTCCTAGTATTTTACTAGTCTTGTGTGTTTTTTGAGTAGCATTCTGCAGTATAAATTCTGACACATCGGACTGCATTAATTCCCCAAAGATAGTTATTATTAATTCAGTGTTTATTGCAAGCTTAAAAATTAGCATGTTTTTGCTTAAACGCTAAGATAACTAACAAAAAAGGGGGGGAGGGAATTGACAGCTAAGGATCAACAGCTAATAACAGATATCAGTGATATCAGCTCTTGCCACTAAGCTGCTAGTCCCAATGAAATGTGATTTTTGTGGTTCATATCTAAGCTTTCTATTTTGTGGAGTTTTAAAGAATACTATATTTAGGAAGTGCAACATAAACTCAGCTTATTTATCTTGAGCTCTCCTGATAATCTAAAAATAAGGAAAAACATCTTTTTTCTTGTCTCTTTGTTGATTGCACTGACATTAGCATTCATGACTGTATAGGGAGTCAATTGTGCACATATAGGCTGCTTTGCTCGGTGTGTCTGAATTATACATGCAGTGTATAGAAACTCATTGATTTGAAGAAGCATTTTGAAAGGGCCCTTTCATGTCACAAAGGAAATGCATTCCTTCTTTTCCTAACTATGCCCAGTTCGCAATCATTTCCAAGTGGCAAAATTGCCAATAAATGCAGCGACATACCCAAACCATAATCTTAGCTGTCAAATAAAATTATTGCACATTTTGACATGGTAGAACTGTTTGTTATTTTGTGCTTGTGGAAATAAAATGACCTTGTTAAACATTCAGGTAAGTTTTGCACCTGCTTCATATTAAAATATCTTGTCCGACATTCCCCAATTTTCAGAATGTTAAATATTACCTCCAAATAAGGGTAAGATTGGGAATTAAAAAGGAAAAAGAAGGGAATACAAAGCCTGGCCCTTTAGATACTATATTGGCCTTGTTAAGCGGTAGCTTGGTACACACTGCCTGGGTTTGCCTCTGCCTCCAACGCATCTTATGCAACAAGAGTATCAGAAAAGATAGAAGGACTTTGGGTTGGAGGAGGATTAACTCTGGACAGTTCCATTTGGAGAAATGGAGATTAATGTCAACATTTCATACTGACAATAATTCATATATTTTAATGTAAAGAAGCACTCAGCCCAGAGTGAGTGCTTTCTGAGCTCTCTTAAAGACCCAATAAATGAAAATGAATGAAGTGGTATGGGTTGTGTTATAAACTGATTTGACAGCTGCATCTTGCTCAAACTTGGCATAAATATTTGGGCAAATTACATATGTTTTCAAAGTATACATTTTCAAATGTATAAACATTTATTAACTCTTAAAATTTTCAGGGCATTTGTTGGTTTTTAACTTTTCCAATTTACAAAGGAGACAGATGATGGGACAGAACAAATAAGCTTCACCAAGGCTCTGTTTCACAAACACTGACATAACTGGGCTCAAACTCAGGAGCTCCTTGTTTCTGAGCTTATGCTTGGTTATTGCCTATTTCAGTAGCCCTCTCATCAAAGTACTGCGCTGCCTGAATCCTGCTTTCCTTTACAGATCTCTAGAGTATCGATAGCAAAAGGAAGGGGAAATATACTGGCAGTTAAAATCTCTTGCTTCTCCCCCAGAGGATTATCTGTCTGTAAGCTGCAGTGGTTTATACACCAGTAAAAATATATCATGTACTTTGTCCTCTTCAGATGATAAGCGGTAGTGGAAGCCCTTTGTCTACAATGGTTCTTACACAGTCTTCTGCCAGCCAACTATTTTATTGTTTAAATAATATCTGTGGTATTTAAGGATAGTATGTTGCTCTGTCATATTCCTTGGAGACTTGGAATCTATTTAAAAAAAACATGGCTCTCAAACCATATTGTATTTTAGTTTTGGTATAAGCAAAGAAAGGGGAATTGGGGAAGAACTCACAGTACTACTTATTTCACAAAACCAGAGTCTGCTACATGAACTAGGACCTCAGTCTTCCTGAGATCTGATTCTTTTTGCTCTGCTTTGTGGTGCTGGAGCACAGGGACCCCCCTGTGCTTTGACAAGAACACTTATAAGGAAGTGTTGAAAGATTAATTATTGTCTAATTTGAAGTTGTAGGATTTTTCAGGAAGCTTACAAGAAAGAATGAAAACTGCTTTCTAAGTGATGATACAAACTTTTGTGGAACATGACAAGCATTTTGGTGGAGGAAGATGCATGCCACTCCCTCCTTCCCACCCCATCTTTGGCATTAAAAATACTACTGACGTTGATAAAGACCCTGCCAAAAAGTCATTCTGCTACAGCTCGAACTGCACTGACAGCTCTGCTGCTGCCACAAAATGCAGCAAGATCCGTGTGTGAACCCAGAGGAGTATCTGTCACACACAGCGTTGTCTGACGAGGGAATATTTGGTGCTGAGCCAGAGCAGATGACAAACTTCCATGGCAGAACACAGGCACTGGTTTCTACCAAAGCTGCCATTCATATTTATCAACTCAGATACAAAGCTGAATGCCCACACACCAGCATCCTATAAAGGCTCTTCTTCCATTTACTCATTCATTTAAAAAAAAAAAAGCGAGTTGAAGTAACATTTAAATCTCTTATTGCTAAATTCTCTCATGCTAGGATTTATATGCAGATTATCTGTCATGAGGCAAACACTGGGTCCTAGAAAAAGTAATGATATGTTTAAAAGTAAGTGCTTTCATATTCTGTTGCTGTTTTAAAGAATAAGGAGAGGACAACACATTATTACATAATACGTGAGAGAGCTACAATTTGGACATGCTTCTTTTTTCCCCAAGTACCACTCCAAGTACATCCCAGGGAACGCACAAACTGCCTCACATTTCCTTAGTGCAAACTTGGTGCTGTTAATTGTTGGTTGAATAGTTTGATCTTTGTCTAAATTTAGATTTAACAGATTTTTTTTAATTGCAGTATAGATAATATTTATTGTTAATTCAAAGTCATTTCATCTCATATGTATAATGCAGGCTAAATAATTGCACAGTAGAAAACATTTTTCATTTCTGTAATATTCCTTTAAAAAACATTATTAGAATAATAGAAAATAATGGATCATTAATACTAAAACAGCTGAGCATTAGCAGCAGAAGCCAATTTTGAGTAGTTTGTTGCTAGTAAAAGCTGCCATCATTTAAAAGGTAATTATTGAGGCTTTTACTAAGCTTTTTACCTTTTTCAACTGAATGACTTGGGGAAAAAATCAACTATTCTGTGATATTTGACAACTCATTTCTGTAACGTTAGTGTTTTAGGTTCCATAAAGTGTTTGGGTTTTATTTTTCAGAAAGCAGATGACAGAGAGAAGCGACAGGAAGCTCATCGGTTCCATTTTGATGCTATGTGACATGCCTTAATATTTATGAAGAAGCTGCTGCTCATTTGCTTAATTGAAATACTGAATTCTGATTTGTAAAATGATTACTGTGAGACTAGTGCTGGTATGCTATTTGTAAATGTTGCGTTACTTGGTATTTATTTGGAAAGTATTAAAATCAGACCTGAATGTCTCACAAGGCCTTTCAGTAAACAGACTGTATATATTAGTATTTGGTCCTTATTTAACAGAAACTGTAAATTTATTTTTCATCGTGAGGAGGTCATACTGCATGTACCTCATTGTTTACATACCACCCCTTCTCCAGCACTAGTTGCTGGAAAGATGTAAATAAAGTTTAGCGTTTCACAGAGCAGAATATTTGGTATCATTTGAATTGGTCGTCTCCTTTATACGTTTTTGCAAAGTAAACTGCGTTCTGAAAATTAGGCTTGAGCAATTTCTCAGGCGAGACTTTATCTGGTTTATTCTGGTTGTACTAAATGGTATTCTGTCTGAAGTGCTCTGTATTTTTCTTTGTTTCAGTCTGTATGTGCAATAGTTAAAGAATTTAGGAACCTGAGAACTAAAGCAAACCTGTAGCATTAATGCTAGCTTAGTAACTCATCATGGGATAAATGTAATATTAATGTTTAGTAGTTCTAGAGAGAAGGTTCATTTAAAAATTTAGTTCATAAAAATGGATCAGCATTACACAAACTGCTCTTCTAGTTAAACTATAATCACTTTTATTTAAAAAGACATAGAGTCATTACGAAAGTTGGGGTTTTTTTCCTACTTCTAAGAGAGAGGGGAGGTTTTTTCAGAATTTAAAATTTTAAAAAATGGAGTAGAATGAGAATTAAGATTAACTCACCAAAATGAGTTACTAATGGATGAGATACAGAAAGATTAAATAAAGACTATAATCGGACTCTCAGAGTAAGTAGCATCCATAATCTGTGTAGACTACTCTACCTGAAATTCATGAAAAGACGATTAATAATTTCATACAAAGGGAAGATTAGCCCTCTGTATTTAAAGGGCTGAAGTGCAGCTTGGATCCTGGAACTATCTCTATAAATGATCATGCTTTTATTTAATAGTTTTTCCTATATTCATAGTGTTGAGTTTACATGGCTTATTGTGCTTTTACCTCTGTCAACTTGCATTCCTAATAAATACAGTTTAATAAACTAGAAGCCGCTTTCTCACCAGTTTCTCCCCTGTTGTACCTGCACGGCAGCATCTGCCTCTGTCTCGTGTGGGCTGGAATTTGTGCTGGAAGCGGCCGAGCTGCCCATGAGCCCCCAGCGCAGCGTGCGGGTCAGTCTGAGAGCAGCCACGGGGAGCAGGGCAGGGCTGCCCTGCTGCTGCCCCCCCAGTCACAGTGCACAGAATTAGCTGCCATAGCAATGCCTAACAGTGACCGACCCCACATACAGAGTGAGAAAAATACTGCTCAACAGACACACTAAGTTGCAACGTTTAGACTAGATATTTCAAATACAGACTGATTGTATTGCAAGAATGGAGACCTTTATACTGTGTTCACTACTGCTGTTCAGCATAGCACAGTTCCTTAAAACGCCCCTTTTAGTGCTTCTCTTTTCTTTGCCCCCCCGGCAGGTAAAGGTTATTTCTAGATAACCCCCAAGTGCTCCTGTACATTTTAAACCCATTAATAGCATTCTCTAGAGCCAGAGCCCTGCCTGCTGCTGCTGTGGCTGCCGAGTCACCAGGACCCCTTAGCATGGCAGAATAAACAGCCATTACCCTCCTTGTGGGCTTCAGAAAACAATTAGCAGTGAAACACGCTCATGCTGGCATTTAAGCTGTTGTCAAGTTAACAGAGCAATGAATTTGGTGTGTTTTGTTTCAAGGTGTTGTGTGTTTGGCAGTACATTGTTGAATTGCATCGTACATAAGATGTTATTATTGGAGCTTTAATAGCTTTCATACAAGGAAATTTCCTGGCTTACAACAATATATATACTATTTTTGAATACTTAAGACATTGAATATTAAACCTCTTGTCAAAGGTATAGTATCAGACTTTTCAAACCATAGGCATCAAAAATATGTTTCATTAAGAGAGTCACCCTTCTACTAGCAAGTTTAAGAGAGCAACATCAGTGAGGACGTGTTGTTCCAGGTGCTCCTCCCAGTGACAGTGAAGTGAGAAAAAATTCTAGCTACATAAATTTTCAGAATACATCACCATAATGCAGCCCTGGTGAGAAATGCTATGGGAAGGCTTTAGTGTGAAATCTCACCTATATAAAGATACTGTTGACATGCCAGCTGACAGATGGCTCTTCAAGTCTCAGCTTTCTTTGTTCTCATCTTCTATGCAAAACTTTAAGCCTGAATCATGCTCATGGAGTTACCATTGCTGCAGTGCAATGCTCCACCACTGCAAGCTGTGCTGTGCACAAGCGGACACGCTCCCTGGATGCCCCATCCCATCCATGGAGAGGCGGTTCCTTCGCAGGCGGCTGAGTTGCAAGGGCATCCTACAGTTCCTTGTAGACCCACCACTGTAAATGCACTAAGGCAATGGGGGCTTCTGCTTTTCAATGAATGGGAGTTGCAGAGACCAGGAAAAGTGAATACATTTCTACATCCTTCAGTACTCAGTGGAGCTCAACTGTATTGGACAATGTAACAAGATTAACTGCACCAGCTTTAAAGGTTTTTAATAACAAAAGAATTATTTTTAAAAAATCCAGAAAATAAGATTATACTTAAAATAATAATACTAAAAAAAATGCTAGCACCGTTCATTTTATCAAAAATATCTGCAGCTCAAATATTCAATGAGGATGAGTAAATTTTCTGATCAAAGACAACAGCTGCAGTCACTTACAAAGCTAAAATGTTGCTGTCCAGAAGCCCTATGTTATCCATTATTCTCCAGCTTTTTCCTCATGATAACAGACTGTATTTGGTGATGCTATGGTAATATCAGGTGTCACTTTGAAAAAATCAGCTACACAGCACTATTTTATAGTGAATCCCTGTCGTCAGTGAACAGGGTGATCCTGTCTATGATACACTCCATTAAGCTTGTAAAATACACACTAACCTTGTCTTGAAATTCTGAATTTTTATGACCTAACCCAAATAAGTTCCTAGATATATTCTCTTTATAACACACAGACCCAATCACATTGCTGGGCATATACAGAAAGCTTTCTGAAGACCATCAGGATTCTTCATGACCATTAAAAAGGTGACAGTGTTCTTAACAAAGTCAAGTAAAATCCAAGTAAATAACAAAGTCAAGTATATGTACTTGTGTAGGCTTCCCTGATATATTACCACATGAGGAGGCACTGGCAGTTTCCATCATTTTATAATTAGAAATTGTAGATCATGAAGATTTTTCAGATGCTCCTAGTCCCATTGACAAAGCCAGTGACCGCAGTTACACATTAGTGCCAACCTCTCGTCAGAATTACCCATTGCTCCCGGGCACTTGTGGGCACCGTTCACAGGCATGTTGATGATGCTGCCATGCGTGACCATCTCAGGCTCACACCACCGCACTGCTTCCCTAGAAAGCAGCTGTCTCCAGGCTCGGAGCACTGGAAGGCAACTTTTCCTCAAGATCTACCCAAGTTTACAGTGCCATATTTTAAAGCATCATCTGTCCAATTCTCAAAGGCAAAGTACAGGGATGCCCACATAGGGAACCCCTCCAGAAGCAGCTCTAAGTGAGAGCAGATTAGGGCCCAGATTTATGAACTGCTGCTGCTGCCCACACACTGACAGCTGGGCACCGCTCTGGGAAACAGGGAGTGAAAGGTGCATGAGGGAGCAACCTTTCGCTCCCTGTTTCCCAGGATGGTGCCCAGCTCACCCATGCGCAACCGCTCTGCCGCCCTTCGACACCAAACCAGGATTAAACCATTCAGTGTAATTCACTAGAGCAGATTGGGTTGCCTGCAGTTGATACCAACTTGTATCAAAAAAATAAAAAGGACTATTTTTTTCCTCATCTTTCTTTGTTCTGAGACAATAGACGAGAAATTGTTTTCCTGAATGCAAATTCAATTTGAGATCTAAGAATCAAGCTGGCTTCCTCATCTCTTATGTCTTCATCATAAGTGACAAAGTAGCTGAGCCAAATCCTGCCTTTGGCTGTGCTGCACATTCCAAAAAAAAGCCACCCCCTGTCTCCTAACAATCTGTACAAGAGCATAATTGGATTTTGATTTTGTACTTGAGTACTGCAGGGAGAATAAAAAAAAATGTGGATGATGCACAAAAACAGTATAAATTATTAGTCTATTAGATATTTTATAGAATTCCTACTGTCAACACATTTTTGTTAGCAAAGTCTGAAAAAAAATACGAGGATGCAGGGAAGGAATACTTTTTAATATCGAAATTTTCTCTGCAGAATGCAGCATTTAGCGCACTGCTCTGAAAAGCCCGGGTTTGAGGGGTGAGCCTGGAGGAGCGGACCCTGCTGGGCTGCAGCAGCCCCGCAGGAGACTGCGAGGAGCGCTCGAGCGAGCGGAACGACCCTGCTCCCCGCCGCGCGCAGCCCTAGACGGGGCGCTGCCCCCGGGGACCCGCCCGGAGGGCCGCCCGCTGCACGAAGCGGCGGAGCGACCTTTGCTGCCGCGACGCGCTGCCCTCCGAGCGCCGCGGGAAGAACTGGGCTCTCGCAGCACCACGAGCCATGGGGCCGGGCAGCGGCTCGCGGGCGGCTCGCTGGACCCCGCGAGGCACGGGGGCTGCCAGGCGCTGCCGGCGCGGCCCTGCTGCCCGCAGCGCCTCTCGCCTCCTCCGCGCCGCGCGGGCGGGCGAGGGGCGGCCGGGCTTCCCGCCCCGCTGCCTCCCGCCCGGCCCTTCCCGCAGCGCCGCGTGCCCGCGCGCAGAGCTAACGGGCTGGGACGGTAACCTGGGGCGGCCAGGGCAGGCGCCAGGTTAAACGCGCCTTTTTATCAACTTCGTGCAAAGTAAGAGCTCCATTTTAGCTGTCACCGCTGCCAGACAGAACCGCACGGCAGCGCGTGAAGGGCTCTCCCGGGAGTCGCGGGCAGGCACAGGAGAGCGGCGCGGGGCTCGGCCACGAGCGCAGAGCGGCAGCAACGGCAGGAGGGGGAGGAAGGAGGGGAAGGGGAGGCCCTTCCCGCCACCCCCGCCGCGAGTCTGCACAAAGGCGGGCGCCGGGGCGGGCTGCAGGGCCAGGCTCGCGCCGCGTGCAGGGCAGGGCAGAGGCGCTCGCGCGACCGGGACGGGCACGTGCCCAGCGCCGCGGCCGCCCCCGCTCGGTGCCCGGCGGCGGAAGGGGGCTCGGGGGGCGGGCACATGCGTAGAAGCGGCGCAGCCGGGCGGACACCCTCCCATCTTGGGCGAGCCTCTGTTCGCAGCGGGCGCTCGAGCGGCGCTGGGCGGCGCGCGGAGCGCCCGGGGCAGCGTGCGCCCCATGGCCCGGAGCGCGGCGGCGGCTCCGCGCTTGGGCGGCGCGTGCTGAGCGCGCCCCGCTCGGGGGCGCCGGCCATGGCCGCGGGCGGGCGGGGGGTGGCCGAGCCGTAGCCGCGGCCACAGCGCCCTCGCGGGGGACCCGGCCGCGGCCATGGGGCGCCTCTGAAGCCAACGCCGCAGGGGCGCCGCCGGGGGATCATGGCCCTGCGCAACCTGTGCTCCGTGCTGGAAGGTAGGAGCGGCGGCGGGCAGCGGGCGCGGGGGCCCGGGGCGCTCCCGGCGCGGCCTTGGGCCGCCGGAAAGTTTTGCGGGGTGGGAGCCGGGCGGGAGCGACTCCCCTGCGGGCGGGCGCGAGGCCGCGGCGGGCAGGGACGGGGTGCCCGTTGGTGGAGCGCGGTCCGCGTTGAGCAGCCTGGGCAGAAGGAACCGGGGGCTCCCGCCGGCGCCTCCCCGCGGGGCTCCGGGCTCTTGCTGCAGCTTGCGCGGGCGCAGGGGACAGGAGCCGGGAGGGCTCCGGACGCGACCCTGCCCGCGCCGAGCTGCGAGCCGAGCGCTGCGCGCGGAGCCCCGCGCTGGGGACGCCGCCAGCCCGGCCTGCCCGGCGCGAGCGGCAGCGCTGCCCCAGCGGACCCGAGCCCTCAGCAGCCTTCCTCAGTTACTCCATTCGGGGGTGTTTGCGCGCCTGCTCGCGGCATTTAAGCCACAAAGCCGCTGCGCAGAGAAGTGTTTCTATCTGAGCTGCCCAGTACCAAAGTTGCAAAGAGCCTCTATTAAATCCAGCATGTTTCCTCAGCCCATGTAATCCCCTGCTCTTAGTCTGAAGGACAGATGCCTTGAGGGTTAAAGTAAATATTTTAAATTCATTAGCATAATAATTAGTAGAAGATGCTGATTGTCAGTGAGTGGCAACTTGTAGGCATGAGCCGTGTGCTGCTTCGGACACTGCAGGAAGATGGGGTTTGCTTGGGGAAGTGTTTAGATTTTTCTCGCTTTCTGTTAAAGTCACCCAGTTAGATGCCCTAAATCACCATAAAACAACATTAAAATACATCTGGAATCTCTGTTTAATTACCTCTACATATATTTAACTCCACTTCAAATGCTTGCAGTTCCTGAAAATGTGGTTGCACAGACTTGCCTGAGCAGACCTCACTGCAGTCTCTAATAAACTACAGTGTCCAGTTAAAAAGCAAAGTCCTTCCAAGAGAAGTTTTTTTTCTGATTTATAATGTACAAACCCCAGCGAACCACCCGTCAGTCAGTCGCTGTTAGTATGCTAACTGCATCCCTTGCCATGACTACAGAAACAACCTGTCATTATTTAGCATCATTCACTCCCTTTTATCTCCTCTTCACTAGAAGTCTTTATATAGTCAGATCATTACATCTAATCACAAAGAAAAAGGCTTCCTATAAATAGACATGCGATTTAACCCTCAAAGGAGACAATTCCAAGGAAGTCAGTGGAAGCTTCCGTATTTGAGGAGTCGTGTCCTGCAAGCTGTTTAAGCCTTTATGAAGACTACCTACAGCAATAGTAATATTTTTCCTCCTTACAAATAGCTTGAGTTGTTGGGGAATTCTATTTGTACATATCTGAAGAGCCATCAACCTCAATATATTGTGGAAAAATAATGCTTCTTTTAATATATTTAGGAACAATTTTATCTCCTTAACATGACATGTATATGATATACATGTCTGGCATGCACAAAGCTTTTATTTTCTTTTGACCGCATTTCCCAGGGCAGAAGCAGGCCCATGATAGTCAGTTTGTGATAATCCGCATTTCTTATCTTGTCTCAGGTCTCAGTATCTCAGTATTAACATTTCTCTGATTATTATTGCCTCATCCATAGTGTTAGGCACAAACTTGCAGAAGTGCACCGAGGCCCATCTGGCACCGGCTCCCAGCCCCACTTCAGACCCGGCCATGCCGAGGGACGCGATGGGCCCCGTGGCAGCGCGGAGGCTGCAGTCATGCTCGCTGCCAGCTTTGCTGAAGCACAGCCCAGCCAGGGCCCACCTGCTTTCTTAGGAATAGTTATAAACTACCATTTTTTTTTACATTTAAAGGCAAAGCATTTGCTTCCCAACTTCAGTTCTCAACGGGATTGGAAGCACCACTAGGAACAAACTGCAATAGTGCTACCACACTAAGACACTAAAACCCCATATTTCATAGGAAGGGAAAACAGAGCCCTTCTTAATAAAGCCGTGGTTTAGTTATGCTTCAGAATGAAATATTTACCCGTATTTCACCATATCTCTTACTCCACCAAATGTTTGGGTAAATCGTGTTCCCATTCTTTAAAGCTATTCCCTCTTGCCTTCTCATGTACAATTATTTGGATGTTTTTATCCAAATCTAAAACCACATCCTGACTGTGCATTAGTTTCAGCTATTTCAGTTATTATCCTGAAAAGCCCAAAACAATGTTGTGCTTCTTGTCCAGGTATTTCAATAAACAGCCAGTGCTAAACCAAAACACGGCCACCCTGACAGTTGACATCTGCAGTCTTCCAAGGAGCACGGAACTATTTCCAACCCTGGCAGGTTGCAAGAATGTGAACTACTATGATTAACTTCCTGCCATTCTGCTCAGCCCTCTCATTTGCATTTTGGCATGATTTTAACAGCTAATTTCTCACAAACAAGTAGTGTTAGGAAGTAATGCTTCCTTCCACATAAAAGCTAGGAATTATACCCTCCTGTTTCCAAAATGAAAAAAACGTAAAAAACAGCCCAAGAAGCTGAAAGCAAGCAAAGAAATGCATAATTTAAAAATGTATTCACATTTTCATGATTTTTTTCCCCCACTGAAACCAAAAGCAAGGTACTGGTTATAGAAGCTACAGTAGTTCTCGTGAAGACAGTATCAGATGCAAGTCCGAATTTATTTTACCTAAAAGCTGTCACTAATTATGACCTTCTCTGCAGCAATCAAAAATGCTAAGCACCAATCAGCTTGCACTGAATTAAGCAGAAGCAACTGTAGAACAGGCTCGAAAAAGCTGCTGTGTTGCAAACAAATAAGGTATCTGGTTTCTGTGTCCTGCTGATAATGAGTATACAAACTCAGTATCCAAAAGTGTCCCACTTGCAGAGTAGCTTAGCTTCAAAAGCATTAACATTTCCTAGGGCACACTTAACAGTACTGCTATAACTTTTACAGAACAAGTTGGCTCTAAATATATTAATTAAAAAGGTCAGTGTATAAATCAGGTATATAATTATAGTCAGAATGTAAAATAATATCGAAGCTATTGAATTATTTATCCCTATCTAATGAAAAAGATTTTCTGTGTCTTCCCTAAATTTTGTTTCACAGAGAAAGATTAAACATTACCCCCCAGAAATAAACTTTGCAGGCTATTCATCACTGAGGAGCTTGTCAGAAATTCCCAACACAGTTCACTGCAGTCGTAGCAGAAGCAGTTATTGGGGGGTTATTTACTCCCGTAACCAGTGACACGACAGTGGTGGACACGCTCATCTGGACTGAAGCAAACGCTTCTCCACAGGGTCTTGGATACAACCAGGGTTCTAGCACTGCAGAAAAGCTTGCTGCTCTCCTGCCCTGTGCACTCCAGTTGGTTTTTTAATAATTTAAACACCCGTAGTCTTGGACAGCTTACCTAGCTTGCTACCTGTCTTGATACATGACTGACAACTGCTCCTGAAGCTGACTGGGCTACAGGGAGTGCAAGTTTTTTCATTAATAATTAGCAATTAACGTTTAATGAAAAATTTCCTCAATCATCTCTGTGTTTCACTCCGTTTTCTGGAATTACAAAGCAGATCCACTACGTAATAGGAAAAAGCAACCAACTATTAAAGTGCCTATCATGAAACACCTCCTCCTTTAGCATGCAATAAAATCCATGAACAGTCTCTCTTCAAGGGACTGAGAGTGAGGAGCTAGAAAAAGAAAACCATTTATACTCTTTAGGCAAATTGCTCTCAGACATGACAGAAGATGACAGCAGTACTCCCAAGATTTAGCAATAAGTAATCCCCAGGAAAGAGGTTCTCAGAATAGTCATGTACAGCAGGATCAGTCCTGTCCATTACAGGGAAATCTCAGTATATATATTTTGACTAGGTTTTTGAAACCCTCATCAAAATGGTTTGTACTTGCAGCCGCCTTGGCAATCTCTGGCAGCACGTGGCTTGGCAAGGAGGGGAAAAATAAAAAAAATACAGACCAGTACTTCTACATATAAAAAGGAAAGCTGCTATTTTAAAACTGCACAATGTTATTCTGGCAGAAGTTTTGCTGGCAGACATACCCAGGGATGGATTATAAGTATCAGGATGTGGAAAAAATGGAAAAATAAAACTACCTCTAACTGCTTATATATTTCTAATGGAAGAAGGGATCAGAAATGTTAAATGTTTTGAAAAACCTGGAGGGGACTGTCATAGATCTGTCCAAGCATGAATTGCTCTGCAGATGATTTTGATCAAAGGAAAGAGGGAGAACTGCATTTACTTCTTGAATCAGTTGACCTGATTTCTCTGCAGAAATATAGACTCCCAGTTTGTTTCTTTGGCAATCTTAAAGAGAGAAATCCCTATTGGAAACAGCTGGGGTGAGATGAAACTGTTATATCTGAGCACAGACCTGAGTGCGTTCAGACATCCTGCTGGCATGCTAAATGCCTGACAAGCTTTGGATCTCGGAGAGGCGCTAGAGTCTGTTAATAGCTGATGAAGCCCACTTCTGCTATCAGGCTTCTGAGAGGAGAATTAAAACTGGCTTGGCAGTTCCATTAGCATGGGTAATATTGCCTTGCCGAGAGCTAAAGCATGTCTTCCTCAATGCACACCTCCCTCCTTCCCTGTTGCAATCCTACAGCATATTCCAGGATCTTAAAAAAAAAAAAAAAAAAAAAAAAAAAAAAAAAGCAGCTCTAACTGGAGCTGTTAATAGGTTAATCCTAGGCAAGCAACTTCACTGTTCTTTGTTACTCATTTAAACAATTTGCAAATGTCCTTTTGAGGCCACAAGAAATAAGGGAGCATATACAGCCTGTAAGAACACACAGGATTCAAAAACTGCTGTGTTTTCTTCCTCAGCAATAAAATTGTTTGCCCTAAAGAAGCAAGAACAGATGCAATCCAATATTCCTTTTATCAACTTGTAAATGTCACCAAATGCTGGGAAGAGAGAAAAATCTCATTCCCCTTGGACTTTACAGTTGGTCTGTTCCTGAGCTGAAAACGCTTTGAAACTGAAATGCAATTAATTAACTTTCTAAAAGGAAAAGAGGTGACCATCTAGTTAGAGTTATATAGACTTCTCTTTTCCTTCCTGCACTCTACTTTGTCCATCTAAATTATAATATGTTTTTCATAACAGGATCTGAGAATTATTTTGAGTATGTGCATCATCTAATGTCATAGGAACTTCGTTGTGATCAGAGCCCTTAAAAGCAACTACAGCACAAATACTGATGGTGAGACAATATGAAGGGATATAGTATCACAAATGTCTTCAGTACATTAATAGCTAAAATTTAAGTGTAAACGTGGAAATTCATGGGATGCATATGTTGTGATACTGCTATTAGCTGTTACTGAAACTAGCATTAATTTTAGCACACTGGGCAAATTAGGAGCTAGGTTTAAGAGCAGTACATAGAAAAAGATTCTTTCCTATAAGGCAAAACGTGCTATGTAATTAAGATCAAGCACTATTCTAGGCTGCTATCTGCCAGAAAATAGCAAGCATTGTAGCTAGATTTTATAACATGCATGTTGCCAATTTACTGCCTGCTTGGCCTCGATGTATACAAGGTAGTGCCTAACCCAGGCAGCACAGCACCGAGCTCTAACATTGCTCTAAGCAATGTCTGTCATCTTTATTCCTAGTATTCTGACTGCCAGGGCACTAAGGATGTGTAATACTCCACATTATTTTTATTCTAAGAACTGGAGGAATTTTTCACATTTTCCTCAGTTCTACGTGACTGCTTCCAACTTGTTTCTGTGCTTGCCCTGCACGCCGAGTTCCCCAGTGTCATCACTCAAGTAAGACCCTGCTCTCAAAGCCACTCTGCAAATCTACTGCGTTCTCACTGTACATGAGGATCCCTAGAGCGTGCCGAAAAGGCACAAGGAAGACATACCCTTCAGAGCTGAGAGCAAAACTGTATCCCATGAAATCTGAAGAATGCATCTTGCCAGAAAATACAAGCATATGTCAAATTTGCAGCCTAAAGCACTTGTTTTCCTAAGCAAAACACTGATTTCTTACTGTTGGCTGAGAATTCTTTTACTATAAAAAGAGAAACTATCTACTTTACTCCAATTTTTACAGAGAAATAGGTGCCAGCCATTTGTGAATCTCTTTATAAGTCAGTAAACAAATTGATTTTTTTTTTGGTCATATTCATTTTGGGGGAATATTAAGAAATGCCTTCAAAAAAAGCCTTGAACCTCACAACAATGTGTGTTTTATTACACTGGTTCAGGTGATTCTTTTATATTATTCCATAAGCCTATTATAAAAACTGAGTAGTAATAATGATTGCAATATATTGTTAGTGTCTTCACCCTTAAAAATTTAAACAGCTGTCTGCAGGCTATGTGATCTAAAATATTTCATGCAAAGGAGGGAGAAAAGGACAAAGATCCTTTTAAAAACAGAGACAGAACCTTGCAGCTTTTAAAATTTCTAATTAATCTTCACACAGATAAAAACTATCAGAGCTTTAAATGGTAGTAAAAAATTATGCACCATACTTCATGGAATAAGAATCTGTAGCGAATACCAGATTAATGAATGAAAAAGTCCCCCTTAGTTCGTCTGCCTCAGTGGCGCTGCTGCTGCTCACTTGACGACAGCTCTTCTGCAGTTTAGATGCCAGGCAGTAGATGCCAGTGGAACTTGGAGAAGCACCAACCTCTATTATCTGAGAGCTAGCCATGTGCAGGTCTGCAAGGCTGGGCTGCCACAGCTGAGTATCCTCCAGGATTCTCACCACGCGTGTCCGTGGAAAACAAACCAAACCAACCCGCCCTCCCCTGTCTGACGTCCGTCCTGTCCTGCACTGTGCTCTCTGCTTCCACCAGCAAGCCCCATTCAAATGCATTGTTTTAGACAGTTGTCCCCTCTGTCCTGTAACACAGTAAAATATGGACCTAATCTAGATTTTTTTTCCATACACACTAAAGAGCAACCATGTTATCACAGTGATAGGCTTAAGAAAAAGCAAAAAACGTACACAGAAGAGAGGCTGATGGAAGCAGTCCAAAAGGATTACAAATATTTGGCTAATTGTTCTTTTTTTCTTTTCTTTTCTTTTCAATCTGAATATTGACAGGCTTCATTTTCAGCCAAAAAAATTCCTATTTGCTGTCCCATACAGCAAATGTCACAGAAACAGACCCAGTTTAAGGCAATACTAGCTCAGCCCTCTCACAAAGAGCAGGTGCAGCTCTCGCCACCCTTTTGCTAGCAATGCCACAGAGATAAGGACAGCCCACATACAGAATATTAATCATCGAGACACCTCTTTTCTTCATTTTACTATTATGAGGGATAAAAGCAATGGCTAAAGAAAAGCTCTTAAACATTTAGTACCTGGGCTGCTTTGAATACATCTTAAGCATCTTTGACTGCATGAGAAGGACAGGCACTGCTAGAGAAAGACAAGAGATGGAAGAGGTTAAAAATGAAGAGGAAAAAAGGGCAGAGGGACAAAGAGAAGGTGGCCTGTACTTATTATACCCACTCAGCCATATAATATGACAAAAAAAAAGGCAGTAAGACAAATATTCAGCCCATTTATCTGCTGTAATTGCCTGCATATCCACGCTGTTCTGCAGGAAACATGTACTGTTCTTTTGCACTTGCACAGATATACACAGCTCTGGACTATTTATAGAAACAGCAGAGGCTTTAGTGAAAAAAAAAACAGATTTTTTAAAGTCCTTCTAGGAAGCTTGTTTCTGTATCTGCTTCATTTTGAAATGGGAAGCCACTGAATAGCGTAACTGAGTATCTTTGCTGCTGCTGTCTGTCTTTGGAGGAGAAAATGGCCATTGAAGTAAATATAGATAAACTCAGATACCTGATGACATTTTTAAGATGAAAAGAAGAAAAAGGTATACCTAAGAGTTTGCCATAGCAGATAACTATACTAAAATACAGGGGAGTTATTATCTGATAATGACTAGCTGTGTCAATGTTAGTCATGAAAATATTGATTTTCCTTATACTGGGTTTCTGTACTTGTTTGCTTTGTTTCAGAAAAAAAAAAATCATGGTGGGAAGCAGTACAACAAATTATAAAGTGGCATAAATTGCTTTGAGATTATTATGTCCGTGCAAAATAGGGGCTGGGTATACCACTGCATTATCATCTATTTTAACAATTCATTATAATCTATTGCACTTAAACGTGGGCCCTTGAATTTCACGATTGAAACAAAGGATCTGAAAAAATAAACTGAGGGAACTTTGGAGCAAACACACTTGTGTGCTTCTCTCCCAAGGGAAAAAGTACTTGGTGAGAAAAGCCTCATAACCACATAGAGTCTATGGACAGGCCAGTGTGTCGGTGCTGCGCAGCATCGCTGCCAGCAGCCTGCAGGGACAGCCCTACCCACGCTCTGCTCTGTGCTCTGCAGGGGCTCCAGTGCTCTGATTACTTCTTACGAGCCACAGAAGTCTTTCATATGCATGTTATGTATGTGGAGTTTTATTGTAAATATGGTTCACTACAGCAGTCAAACATCTTGCTTCAGGATACTAAAATTATACAGAAGGTAGATTCCATTTACTTTTATAAAATGCTCGCAAGTTGATAGATATTCTGCATAAGATTCTTGAAGCTTTCTTAAGGAGTCTGGGGCCAGTACCAACAGTGACACTTGAACTGCACTAGTTTCCTAAAGCTGAAATTTTAAAGTAGTACATTAATTATTTTTGTATATTCTGATTTTGTTGTTGTTGTCGGTGATACCGGGATTTGCATGCATGAGGGCTGCAGAAGATGGTATGTACATTTTGTTTGATAACTGATGTTTTTCCTGTCCAACTTTTCTCATCAGTGCTGCTGGTAACAATTCTTGTAGTGGAAGGAATTGCTGTTGCACAGAAGACACAAGGTACAGATTTGGGTTGATGACTTTCTTTCAAAAAATGTAACAGTTTTATCATTTTGAAATAAGTTAAATAAGTCAAAGAAAGTATTTGTGTTCAGGTACTAATAGCTTTTCAATTGAAAAAATGAATCTCAGTATTTTTTCCAACTGAACATGCCCATGGTTTAGATACATACACAAAAAAAAAATGAAGCTCACTCACCCAGTTAAAATTTTAAAATTTTTAGACCTTAAAGGTGGGAAGAAACACCACAGAATTTCACATTTTCTGCATCTGACAAGTTTTCTGCAGCTTTTCAAACAGTCCACCCACAAACATTTCTGAATCCAGTGCCTCCCCAGAGAGGAAGGCAACAGTTGCAGAAATCTTATTTTTTCATATGTGGGAATAATCCATACATAGGAGAGAAACTGGCACCTAGAGCACTTTCTTTATAAATATATGGAGGAGAGACTGAGCTTCCCTGTATACAGGAAGGCTGCCGAGATACCAGGGAAAGCTGCTGCTACACCCAGAGGCAGCCAAGCCCCTTCAGCAGGTCTCTCTTTGCAAAGGTCTCCAGGGAAGGCTGCCTAAGTACAAACAACATCCTGAGAGCCCCTCTGTGGGACTTAGGGAGCCTAGCAGAAATGGAAGAGCTTGTGTCTCCTTCTCTGCAGCTTTCTAAGAGAAAAGGCAGAGACACTGTACACGAATGTCAGGGGGATCACACTGTTTCTAAGCCCTTTCTCTGGGGAAAAGGGAAGCCAGACTACGAAAGCTCCTGCAAATGCTCTGCCGTGGCACAGTACCTTATTGAACTACATGAGTTCAGCCAGAAATCATATTTCAAAAGCCAAAATCATTTAGAAGAGGGCTTTGATCTTAAACAAGACCCTTAGCTACCAGTACAGCTACAGCTGTACAGCTATTTGCTACCTACAGCAAATAATTTTACTTCATTAATTTCCATTGCTGTATTTAGTGTATTCGCATATTATCTGCATTCAGTAGACTAACAAATTCCTGTAAAGAAATACTCAGCCTAAGGGTCATGTATTTCAGTAAACTCTGTTACAAATATTTTGCATTATATCTGCATAGGGATGGAAAAGAAGTGGGCCATAAAACAGTGCTGCTGTCATCACAGTGGCTGGCAATATCTGACTGAGAAACAAGAGAATCAAGAGTTAAATTCATTTGGGTAAAAATTACTTCCTCTCTTCCCATTTCCAAGGATTACTGTACAGATCTCATACTCCAAAAGAAAGATTTCTTCTGGATATATCACATTGCTAAATTAAACAAAATGATTTTGCTAGCTAAATATCAACATATGCAGCAAGAGATTTTTCAACCAAAACACACTTCTTTTATATACTATTGCTCTACATAAATGTTTTTCTTTGCAATACCAACTTTGCATGCTTGCTGCAGACATCTGATTATGATATTTTTTCCTTTAAGGTGGGCAAAATATTGGAGTGAACCGCATTCCTCCCACCCAGTGTGATAACTGGGTACGGACAAGTAATGGAGGACACTTTGCTTCGCCAAACTACCCTAATACGTACCCGCCGAATCAAGAGTGTATCTATATCTTGGAAGGTACAGGCTCCATTTCTGGTCTCTTGTGCAGGAATTACTGTCCAACATGGAACTGTTAAGACTGTCATTTTACTTTACAGCTTAATTGTTACCTTATTTTCAGTTTTGATGTTGCTGATAATAAACTGTAAAAGACGGTTGAAGACCATCTTCAGCATTTACCACAACATACTGTATTGCTGCAGGGCCATCTCACAGGCAGAAAGCCTTTATGCTGTCTTTTATTAACAAAAAAGACACACTTGACTGGCACCATAGCACTTTACTAAAAATACACAGGTTTGTTAGCACTACTGAGGTCACTATTAAAATTATATGACAAGGACAAAAAGAAAAAATCATTAACGAGAAAAAACACATTCTAGTGGGAGTATCCTGGATAAAGACTTCAAGACTTGGGCACTAATTCCTTTCTCTCTTATTAAGATGCATCCAAAAAAACACTGAAATTGGCTAAAAACACTAGTCAGCTTTTCCTCAGATTCATATCAATTAATTAGAATATTTCAAGTAACGTGTCAGTGAGGTTTTACTTCTGCAGTCTTATACTTAATACCTTACTCTGTCTTTACATAGGCCATCATTTTTGTTGGTGTGCTTGCATTTCTAGAGCTTTGCATATTCCCTGTAACAGAATGCCCAGTAGAGCAGCCAGCCCGTCCAGCCTGAGCACTGGGACATACCAGGCCATGGCTGGAGCTTCTTTGTGCAAGGCAGTTGCCACGGGGCACAGATTCAGCTACTTCATCTTCACAACAGAGCTAAGATGTGGTTCTTCCTGCAGACCACTGCCAATATGTGCAAATTAAGAGACACACCTTTTTATCTTGCTATTTGGAGGTTCTCTTTTCATTGTTATGATATCTTCATATGTATTTTATATAACTTCCTTTAATATTTTGCTCATTTTTTCTATGCCAGCTGCTCCAAGACAAAGAATTGAGTTGACCTTTGATGAACCTTATTACATAGAACCCTCCTTTGAATGCCGGTTTGATCATCTGGAGGTTCGAGATGGACCTTTTGGTTTCTCCCCTCTCATTGATCGTTACTGTGGTCTCAAAAGTCCTTCACTAATTAGATCAACAGGGAGATTTATGTGGATCAAGTTTACTTCTGATGAGGAACTGGAAGGAAAAGGATTTCAAGCAAAGTACTCATTTATACCCGGTAAATAAATCTGTACTTTCCTAGTGAAGAATCCTGTTGTTCGTAGCTGTCCCACCACTGGTGGGAACAGCAGGAGCATTTACATTAAACCTTGAAGTTATTTTCTAGCATTCATAGCCCTTGTAATTCATGACTTCTTTCTATTACAGATCCTGACTTCACTTACCTGGGAGGCATTTTAAATCCCATTCCAGGTCTAGTATTACACTATCAGTATTTTATGAAATTATATGAAGTTTTTAATCAATATCACATTGCATCTGACAGCAAGTTGTATATTCTCTCTAGACTGCCAATTTGAGCTCTCAGGAGCTGATGGAATAGTACGTTCCAGTCAAGTAGAACAAGAAGAGAAAACAAAACCAGGACAAGCAGTTGACTGCATATGGACAATTAAGGCTACTCCAAATGCTAAGGTTAGTTTCATTCATATAATTCAGTATATGATGGGCTTCCAAGTCATTAGTAACAGGTAATAGGTCATTAACTACGATTTGCATAATGTCTTCCTTTCACTAAAATGAATTATGTATCAGTGGCTTAGGAAATCCAGATAGATGCTTGTTCCTGAATTTAAACTTACGCAGCAGATCCACTGCTGTTTTCTTCCCAATATTTGACATTTAACATAGAAAATAAATCTGAAAAGTGCCTAGGAAACATTTTTCAAGGGCCTTTAACTTGATCTATTTTATGGGAAAAAAAAAAACTGCAGGCAAAAGTGCTGGCTGAAGTCTGACAAACGCCAGCAAACCTCGCTGCCATGGTTTAAAATTTTGCTGCCGGGGTTCTACTGGGCACTTTGTTCTGTTCAAAGTCAATAGAAGACATAGCTGCTCCTCACAGTCCTATTCACAATCTGGCACCTTAATTAAAACCTAGTTTCATGAGCCGTCTGAGATGAAATGCTTTATCTGGAAGTAACTAAGGCACCCTCTCTCCTTCTCTTCCAACTCTGCAGTGAGATCATGTAATCTTAAGTGCCATAATAAAATTTCCTAGAGCTTTCCTACCCAAGCCCTGAAGAGGCATATTAGATGTTAGAGCCAAAAAGTCAATGAGAGACACCAAAGTATGCCTTGTTAATTAATTACTTACAAGTTGCAGTGAAGAATATGTATATTTTTTCCCAATAAATCACTCCTTTGTGATTTTGCATCTGTGTGTTAATGTGAATGCCGCTGTTTGAATGTACCACATGCACATAAAAATCCCCAAAATACATTAAATACCATCGTCTGCCAAGACCGCAAACATGCTCTATGCTTTCTTGCATAATCCTAAGGGTTAACTGACCAGTCTTATTTTTCTACCTCCAAATTAGTACTAAAATAGCAACCTAAGCAAAGCTGATCAGAGAACAGGACAAGAAGGAAACTAAAAATGTATTAATGTACCTGAGCCTTTGAGGAAGTGACTCAACTCCCAAGTGCACTATGACAGACTAACTAATAGTAGCAATTCTTCCAGAAACAATAATAGAAGTTTTCTTTCTATATTTGCACTTGAGTGTACTGGATTTTGCTCTTAAGTATTTTAATAAATTATTGAATGTTGCCAGCAGGCAGAGTTGTAGTTGGGTCAGTCTTGAGATTAGATCATCATCCTAAATTATTCAGTTAAAACATTACAGGAAAATAACTCTTGGTATTCTGACAGTGGTTTCTCAAACTTCCATGCTGGCAGAATTACAATGATAAAATACAGTGCAGTCTCATGTGAAAAATCAACATGGAAAATCCTTGATTTCTTCACTTTTATTTTGTAATAACAGTAAAACTGTAAAACTGACACAACTGCAGCAATGAAAGGACTTTTTAAACTCCCCATAATATAAATTTAATAAATTACCTCCAATAATTACTCCAATAAATTAATCTACTAGTATAGCTTAATCAATATAATCCAAGAGTAAAGACCTTTTATATCTCTACTTGGACACCTGAAGTCTTAACCAGATCTGCTTGCCTGGCACACTAACCAGAAGGAGCTTTTCCTGAGCTGAGCCTTTTTTAATGAAATTTTTCTTCTGTTTTCATACACAGAATAGATCTATTAAAAGTGTGCTAATTTATTTTTAGCTTCCGTCATACTATCACAGCAGATATATAATGGCAATCCTTAAATGAAAATAATGAGTTTCAGACCAAACACCAGCCCCGCAGCTCACACCCACGCCCATGAGACATGATGTCAGTGGCAGACACGTTCTCGGCACAGCTGAGAATTTCTGCCAGTAAATCTGACAAAGACAGCGCCAAAAGAAAAGTATTTACTGAATATCACTTTGCACATCGTGATGCTGAATGCACACACACAAAGTCACAGGGGAAAATACCTACATATAACAAAGTGCTAGTTTCACAAACCCGGGCAAGATGAAGCGTGAGATACTACGGCACAGACTGCCCCTTCTCCCAGCACGTGCAAGGGGAAGTGCCAGCCTCTGTAAATCTCTGGGGAAAGGAAAAGCCAGACAGTACAGGTATTACCAGCCTTTTACTGGATTTTTAACTGTGTCTTTTAGGTGCATGGTGGGGAGAAATTGTGTTTTTTTCCATACAAAAGTGCTGGGTTTATTTTAGTGAAATCCTTACAACATAGTTTCACAGGGCTTTGGGAGTAGCTCAGATTAAAAACAAGATACAGCAAAAGGGCAGAAGAAAAGGTACTAAGCATGATGTATATCCAGCCTGTCTTCCCTTCCTCACAAGTTCAAGAGGAATTTGCAATTATTGCTATTAGGAAATTGCATGAAAAGCTGCAGCATGGCAAATGCTGTGAGCATTCAATGTATCACCTCAGAGGTAACTGTAAACTATATTTAGAACCAGCATAGTTTTAAGGATGTGCTGGAGACCCCATGGATTAGGGCCCGTGCACCCATGGATTTGGAGACCTCAGTCAGGTCTGCAAGTGGACAGAGGCTCCCTGACACAAAACAGATCCCTTTAAAGGGATTTTTTTTCTTTTAAGGATGGACTTTCCCCTGCTTTGGTGGCTCACTTAACGATCCCTTATTCAAGGAATATCTTATTCAAGATCTGCCAGTAAGCTAAGGAAAAGCAAAAGTCCTGTTTATGACTTGTGATGGAGACCATCCTTTCCCTTCCCTGACAGATCTATTTGCGATTTCTGGACTACCAAATGGAGCATTCCAACGAATGCAAACGAAACTTTGTTGCTGTGTACGATGGGAGCAGCTCTATCGAGAACCTCAAGGCCAAGTTCTGCAGCACAGTAGCCAATGACGTGGTGCTGCAGACAGGCACCGGCGTGGTGCGCATGTGGGCTGATGAAGGCAGCAGGCTGAGCAGATTCCGAATGCTGTTCACCTCCTTTGTGGATCGTAAGTAGATTCTGAGGTACCAGTTTGTCCCATCTCTTTCAGGGTTCCTCAGACACTTAGGGAAAAGCATTAGCTGCCTATTATGCAGCAGGAACACACCAAAAAAAAAGCGGTGTTTCTGTTTCCTTTATGTACAGATACGTGAATTAAATACTTGCTATGGTGCTGTTATGAGCACTGGTTCTGAGGAAAGGCTTTCCTTCTTGGTCAGAGGGATTAATTTCCACTTGAATTCAGTAATAATGCAGCCTCAGGCCAATTCTCACTGAGCTCTACAGCAATCTCAGACCTACTTAAAAGACAGCAGGACTAAAGGGCCCTCTCCCAGTAGCCATCAGCTTCCACTTCGGTGCCAGAGACAAGCAGCAGCTCAAGGGTCAGAAGAAACTGCAGAGATCTGCAATACATTGGGGGAGCTGAATAAAGCATCTGACATTTAACTTCAGGAAATCAAAACTACTTTTGTGCTAAAGGTTAAGTTTTCAATAACTTTTGCTTGCAGAATAAATAGTACAGGTTTGGCTTTAAAGAAGTAACTCTTTTGACAGTACATCTGTAGCCAGTCCTGACAAAAATGCTGGTGACCGCTGTGCGGAAAAGCTCAAGTTACAGGTAACAGCCAGACTTTATGTTCTGTTCCATAACTGGTAAAGTTTAACAAAGGATAAAAATTACTTTCTGTAAAATACTCTTTCAAGAGCAACAACAAGGAAAAATATTGTATTGCCTGCTTTATGTACATGACAGTAAGAAACAATGGAGTCCTTCTAAAAATGATCTAATATTTAACATAAAATAGGTTAAACAGGTTAACCTAAAATAGGTTAGATGATAAAAATAGGGCTCAGTAAACTAAAGCAGGGTTTAGTAGGTATTTTATACTGTGATTTTTTGTAAGTACCACCTTTATGCAGTGCTTGCTTGCTGAGCTTCTAATTGCTTTTCCACTACTTTTTATTTTTCAAGGTAATTATCAGTATCAGCGATAGTGTAAGTAATTCCAGCTTTCAGTCAGAAAGAGCAAGAAATTCTGCCAGAGGAGTTATTGATTTATTCTACAAATATTGATTTGAGTATAAGAGGTTGAAACAATGACTGCTCCAAAGGTTAGATAACTTGTTGAAATTTAAGATTTTTACAGTGACTCAGAAGTCATTGCCAAAAGAAAGTCATCAGTAATGTGTGGTTGTTCTTATTAATCTTTTAGTCTGACATACTGTCTTTCTGTTTTCTCAAAGGATAATTCAAAAGTATGGGTCTAAAAAATGTTTCGTTTATTTTTAAATAATTGAGTGCTAAGTAAAATTTTCCAGTTGAAAATAGTGAATCCTTGCTTATCTTTTTTTTTTCTTCAGATCATTAAGCTATTTGTAATTATGGACCATGAAAACAGTCAATATTTCTGAAAAGATTTACATAAATGAACCAACTGTGCATGAGAGACACTTCACACATACGTGGTGCTGCTTGCAGATTTGACAAAGTAATTTAGCTAACAGCAGTGTTAGAAATCAATGTATCTGATTTCTGGCTTGAGTCGATACATGAATAATGCTAGATAGTAACAACACTGTGAACACTGCACCAGTCATAGGAAGCAGCTACAAGAGAAGTCCAGCTGTTACTGAAATCGTGGCCTGGACCCTGTCAGAGAGACTGTTACTGAAATAAAGTGCATGTGTCCACCTTCATGGACATGCAAACATAAGCCAGTAAAGAGACTATGCAGGAACATAAACTTCATATTGTCATAGGGATAAGCCATAAAGAACACACTATGTATATTATACAACACCCTGCAGACTTTTTTTTTTTTAATGTGAAGAACATTCAGAGATGCTTAAAAGTCTTCTTTAGAGGAACTTTCTAGTTAATTTATTTCATCAAATTTTGAACTATAGATGGACAGATAAAATGCTAAATTGTGCTCTCTCTCAATCCCTGCATTAGCTCTATTAGCAAGACGTAAGAGCTTTGCTTCACAGGAAGGAATGACTTTTATGCCTCCAGTTACTGAAATGTCTCACAATTACTGAAACACAGCTCTGTGCAAGCTGAAATCTGATTTGTCTTAACATATTATTGGACTCTAAAATGCAGATGTTCAGGGAGTGCTTCAGAACCAGCTATGCCATCTACACAGCAGATGTACAGCAGATTAAATAAATATATAATTGATGGGGGGCATGTGATTTCTAAGTATTTTGTTTTTAAAGACAAGTATTAAAGCCTTCCTTCATCAGCTGCATTGGATAACAATCTCTTTCTGCTACCCAGTTTAGGTAGGAAAATTTTGTTTGTAGAATGGATAATACATCTGAAAGCAACCAAATGAACATAGAGTAAACTAGCTGATAATGTGATATGTTCAAGGAACCTCACATTTAAACTGCAAAGGAATAAATAATGCATATGCCTATTAATATAATAGGAATTTACTGTTTTGGGGCAATGTGTGAGTTTTGGAAATCCTAATATTGTCTCTCTCTTCTTTTCCACAGCTCCCTGCTCAGGCAGCACGTATTTCTGCCATAGCAACATGTGCATCAATAATTCTTTAGTCTGCAATGGCATTCAAAACTGTGCATACCCTTGGGATGAAAACCACTGCAGAGGTGAATACAATGCAAAGTATAACCTTATCCAGCACGGTCCATTTGCCTTTCAAGAAAATAATGAAATGTCTTTGCCTAAAAATATTCCTAAGACAGCAGTTCTGTTAATCTCAGGAAGGTGTTTCAAATTCTTCATTTAAACTCAGGAGGCATATGAGCATTGTGAAGATTGATCCTACTACTTTATAGTTAAAATCTTTGTTCCTCTTCAAAATATACTTTTTATTTTAAAAGGACATTAGCTTCACAAGAAATAGAATATAGTGTCTGCCAGGTTGCACTGGACCCATTCCTGAAATTCAAACAAAACAAGTCTTATATGGACAACTAATATCATATTAGAAAAAGTGGTACAGTTGGAAAGAGAAAGACAAACCTCCAGGCAGAAAAGGCCTTTTTTTAGGTCTGAAATCTTCAGATCCGAAACTGTAATCTTCAACACTAAGTACAATTCTAAACATTTGTTTGATTTTAACATGTTAATCATTAAGACAGAGAGTGTATGTTGTGTATGTATACACATATACACATGTATGCACTTGTGTATACACATGTATATGCTGTTGTGTATGGAGACTCTGTGTAGCATCTAGGGTTTTTTTTTTCCCAGTGAATATTTTAGATTCTATTAGCACCAAATTCTTTTAGTCACTGGGACAAGTACTTTTGCAGAACAGGAAACTGGAAAAAATTGTCTTCAAAGAGGTTTGGGAGTATGGGAAACCATCTTAACCTGATGCTGCCATCTTGTGTGTTTTCATAAGAAGTGCTGCCCAGCAGTGCCGAGGGATTTGGGTTGGGTTGATTTGGCTTTTTATCCTTCCCTACTGATTTTATTAGCGGGCTGCTACAGTCGGAAGGTACCGGACCTGCCGGCACTGAAACAAGATCAATGCAGCTGCACGCCAGCAGGGCCACTCTGTTTCCAAAGCAAAGACTAGCAGCAGAGTCAGTCATACATCACTGCTGTTAGAACATCTTACTTTAAAAAAATAGATAATTTTAGCACATGGTAATTAGAATATATCTTGATGTACTTTGACACATTATCAAAAAAGTGAAGAACAATACACAATATTAATCCCCACTTTTTCTTTCCAGAAAAGAAAAAGGCCGGATTGTTTGAACAAATCACCAAAACTCACGGAACAATCATAGGCATCACATCAGGAATAGTTTTAGTTCTTCTCATTATTTCCATTCTAGTGCAAGTGAAGCAACCTCGCAAAAAGGTTATGGCTTGCAAGACTGCTTTCAATAAAACTGGTTTCCAAGAAGTATTCGATCCTCCACACTACGAACTGTTTTCACTAAGGGACAAAGAAATTTCTGCAGATTTGGCAGATTTATCAGAAGAACTTGAAAATTACCAGAAAATGAGACGCTCCTCCACAGCTTCTAGATGCATTCACGACCACCACTGTGGCACTCAGGCCTCTAACATAAAACAAAGCAGGACAAACCTCAGCTCCGTGGAGCTTCCCTTCCGCAACGACTTTGCGCAACCTCAGCCAATGAAAACGTTCAATAGCACATTCAAGAAAAGCAGTTACACTTTCAAGCAAGCGCATGACTGCCCCGAGCAAGTCATAGAAGACAGGGTTATGGAAGAGATTCCCTGTGAAATCTATGTCAGAGGACGAGAAGATACTGCACAAGGTTCATTATCTATCGACTTTTAACTTGCTAACGAAGGTGATAACCATGTACATATAGGATGTTTGTGTATATAATGACAGTGTATATATTTAAAATGTACCATAGGCAGCGTGTGAGATGCACACACTTTTAGCTTAATTGTATTTCATTAAAAGAAGTCTTCATAACTTAACTATTGTTGAAAACCAGTGGACTCCCTCCAATCTTACCAAGATTCCTATACAGTTGAGCGACAAGAGAGGCTTTGCATGGAAATTGTCAGGATATGGGGGGGAAATTAACCAATCATTGGTCACTGACAGCAATGGCTACTACCTGCCTCTTCCCATCCATTCCCTTCCTTTGATGTCTGCTTTTCAGGACAATTTTAACACCTTCGTTACATAAATAAAAGTGGTTAAGTGCACCACACATATGTCAACATAGGTGTCTTATTGTATTTGTCAAATTGAAGATAGAGTTGCTGTGTTAAGTGCCAGTTAACACTCAAGAATTATGTTACAGTGATCTGTTTCACCTTGTCTGCCATTTATATTGCCTAAGATTACTGCCTTTTAGCAATATTTTAGCTTAAGTTGTATTAATTTTAGTACCTTTGGGAATATATAAACTTTGCAGCTTGTGATTAAAACTCAACTAGGTTCTCAAATGGTATTCTAGATACAAATTTATACAAAAACAGATGTTTTGCTTCCAGAAGGCTTACGATGTTATAAGATCCTACTATTCTTTATATACCCTTGTAACTCCACTGATTTCACAGCTCTTCAGTTAGAAAAAAATATTGTTCCTGTGTTTTCCAAATACTTGCATAAAAAGACTGCACTGTGCATTTGTCTCTTAAAATAGCCTTGCACTCCTCATGGAGCTCCTCTTCTCTATTGAAGGCAGTGCTAGATACTTCAGGCTCATGTCCTACTTGCATGAAAAGAATGGCTTAGAGGCCTGTGGGATACGTGAGGATGCTGGACACAAGGAGAGATCACAAAGCAACTTGTATCATCCTTTTTTATGGCAACCTTCTTGAGCCCCTTGTTTCCACTAGCAAAATTGCACATTTCATACCTTTTTTAATGGTGGTTTTGACCTAATTTTAACATTTATACAATATAGAACAGTTTTTAAATATAACAATTCTCATTGTGATTTTTAGACTTTTTATATAGTTTGATACTGTACAGACTATTTATTAAATCTAAGTCTAGCACCTGTACAGCAGGCTTGTTTCAGTGTCCATATTAGCAGCTCTGAATAACATTCAGTGACTGCTATACACATTGCAATTTGCCAAGAGTACTTTTAAGATGACTTCTGCATTAGCCTACCTTTTACTCCCCACTTTGTTTGGGTTTATTTTGGTATTTAATTTACATTTTCACAAGACATGACCTACGAGCTTGCAATCTCTGTTCACATCCTTTACTCACAGAGGTACGTAAAATCATAGTTAATGTGAAATATTTTTGTTGTGATGGTTATAGTCCAAAAAGTGCATCTTAAAATATGATCCTAGCAAGTGAAACGTTTTCTTTAAAAGAAAATATGAACATCAACTACAATCACTGAATTCAATTACAATGATTAAAAAAAAAAAAGATCTCACACCAGGCTTAGAATGTAATTATGTTAAAAAAACAGACACAGACAGAGAGAATTGGCCAGCACTGGAAATTCTCAGTGCTTTGTAACTTCAGAATTATTACAACTATCTGAAAGAAAGAACTTAATTGGAAGCTCATCAGTTAGGCCTGTAAGAGTGTGTCTTGGTGTCAGTTTTTGTGCTGGTCACAGATCGTATTTCATTTTGAAAGAATGAAGTAGGGTTTTTTACATATACTTCATGCAAAAGTTAAGTCTTCAAAACTTTAATTTTGATTTGGAAAAAAAAATAATTACAGCACTTCTTGACAGATTCCACTTCTCATTGATGTCAGTAATAAATTCCTCATTATGAACTATATGGCACGGAATGTTATTTGCGACAAACCCTTAACAGTTCCGGAAGAAATCATGTAGTTTCACATAGGTAATTCTAGTCTGTATGACTAACTCTTGTAAGTATTAGTATTTCATAAATAAGTTTTCTTTTCAAGGTATATTTGTCTGTGTAATAAAAGTATTCTGGCCCCTTTTGTCCCTAAATTATATTGACACTGAAGTGATACATATGTTGTAAGAACAGGAATATCCTTGCTTGCTTATTACAAGTAGGGTAAAATTAAGACTGAATCCATAAAATCTGAAAGGAGAACTTGTTTGTTTTATATGATAACATGAGAAACTATTAAAATAAACTTCCTTTTCCAGTATAATGAAATTCCCTTCAATTTGGACTTATCTCTGTTACTCTGAAATGTTTCAGCAATCACAGAAATACTAACTTATATTTAAAGAACATGAAATGTTCTTGTCTGGTATGAAGCCATGACCTTCATACTGAATAAAAATTACTCTGACACATTATAAACTTTACTCTCCTTCTTAACTAAATAAAGAAAAAGAATGGTTATGGATAGAGCTATCATTGACTTACAAGAAAAGCTACTTACTTGGTATGTATATACTTTATAGAATATTTAACAATTAAAAATAAAATTATTTTGTTTTTACTTAATACAGAAAATTCTGTGTATTAGCAGATCTCCCGAATTAAAAACAAAAAAAGGTCTTTCCTTATTTTCCAAACCAATTTAGTTATTAAATAAAATTGTATAAAGCCTGCCATTCAGTAATGATAATAACACTTAAATTGCTAAACTGTTTAAGTATAATCCTTTATCTATCAACATCACAAATGATACCACATAATAAGTACACATAATACTTGACAACTGTATCTCAGATGCCAGGAATAAATTACTGCTTGAAATGAAACAATTTCTGTTCATATAGCTACATAGAAACACATATCTAAAGCTTAATCTTCCTGTACTATCAGTCCCCTGTTCAAAATAAAACTTAGTCATTTTTACATGCCCTTGTTTCAAAGTTTATGATTTTTCAAAAGATACCTAGAATGCCTGCCAAAATAAGACTCCAAATCTGTGTCAAGATAAGCTGATTTTCTATTGAGATCATGCTGTTACAACTGTACATTAATTTGAAGCAAGAAAGGATTTTAAACCTTTCATAGTTGATTTATATTTTCAAAGTCAGGAATTTATAGCATCTATCTCAGCTTAGCAATAAAAAAACTAATATTTCCACAAATTCTGTTCCTGTAACTTCCAGTAGTAACCATGTCTGTATAGGATAAATCCAGCCTATGAATACACAAACAAATCACATGTTGACATATTCTAATGTGCAATTTTCTTTCACCATAGATGTGCAATGCAAGGGTATTTTCACATTCAAGTTCATTTGCTACACTCCATTTTGCAGAATCAGCTTAACAAAAATCTGTTTTCCATCTGCTTCATAGATCATCACCAACAAAAGACATTCGTGAATTCCCAACTTGTTCCCTCTTATCTAGCTATTGAAGATAATCCACCATATACGAGATAAAACAGCTTAATTTTCATAAGCCTCTCTGATCATACAGAGCCAAGCCCAGGGAGAAACAACATAAGGACTTGATGCCTTTGTATGTCTTTCACTTACCATCATGTAATTTATGGTAATATCTTTTATAATGAAGAAACCGATTCTGTTGGGAAAAAAAATGAAGTGTTACAATAAACCAAATAATATACACTTAATATACCTATATACCTCAAAATTTGCAGTTTTGAAACCTGAACCATACCTTCTGGGCAGCAAGGGCTGTCAATGCTGCCAAAGGAGGCACATCATATTTGTTTTTGGGGTTTTTTTGTTTGTTTGTTTGTTTTTTTCTCTGTATTTCTACTTCCTCTTCTTCCAAACCTAGATTTATTAGGATCTGTGAATTTTTAAATCTTATTTCACTGTATAAATTTATACATAGAAATATAATTTTATTATGCACATCTTATAGTGCAAATTTACTCTCAAAGTATGTGATCACCTACACAAAAATTGCTTCTCTTTTCCTTCCAGATATACTTATGGAGGCAAAAAGACATCGGCTTTAAATACAAAATGGGACATAAGCCCACTGGACACTGTATTTTGTAATGCAAAAGAACTCCCTATTGAGTGAAATCAAATTAATCTCAAGGTAATAAAGCATGCAATTATATTTAAGCAATATGTTAGGTTCCCTCACTTCAGTAAACACCTTCAATACCCCTAATAATTTGGCAGATGCCAGCTGTTAGCACTGAGCTAGCTGGATGGTAGTTATTATACCAATAGTTATTATATAAAAGGATGATTCAGTGATTAATGGGGGTGAGAAAGACAAGAAAATACTCTTTAAAGCAGTTATGAGAATAAAAGAGATTCTTAGAAATAAAACTCAAGTCTCTCAAACATGGTAATGAATTCTCTATTTATGAAAAACAAACAGACAAGGTACATAAGCAATATCACTTATTACTGGCTCTTCCACTGCATATTTAGTAACCCAACAGAGCAATTGAAGGCTTGAGGTGAAGCCAAATAGTTTTGTTGTTGTTGTTGTAATGAAAAGCAAAGATCTAGTAGAGTGAAGATGTTCTATTTGCTTTCTACTTACCAGAGGGATATGAATCTGAATAGGCCATTTTATCTTTTGTCACTGTTAACATTTTAGTCTAGACTGCAAAGGGAATTCTTGAATATGTAACAGGAGCACAAAACATCTATGTAAAATTCAAGTGTAGCAAAAACTACTAAAAAAGTACTGGATAGTTAAGGTAATCGTGTATATTGGGTGATTTTTAAAGTTCTGTATGTCTCTTAAGGTTATATAATCTCCTAGGCAATTCTGCATTTATGTCTGTTTTGACAAATTTGGATACAAACAATTAAGCAGTTAATCTGTTCAAGGGAAGATTATTTCTGTAATAACAGAAAACTAAGGTGCTTTTTTTTTTTTTTTTTTTTTTTTTTTTTTTTTTTTTTTTTTTTCCTGTTAAGACCCAGAGCTAAAAATTAAAGCTGCAAGCTTGGACAGCTTTATTATACTGCAGTGTGCTGCTCAGAGTAGGAGTGAGGACAGACTTTAGCATAAGAGCAACACATCCTTTACTGGAACTAGGAGTTATTTTATCTATTGCAATTCCAACTTTCCTTTAAGCATTAGCATAAGAAAATGAAACACGTTGTTAAGGAAGCACATGAATTATCTTGGTCAAAGAACGATAATAAATATAAAGTAGATTAAATTTTGTATTATTGTGCTTAAACTTATGAAATACCTATTTTAATATGAATTTAGAAAACTATTGATAGCTGTATAATATATATTCACTGACTAGCTTACATAAAGACAAGCTGCCAGGTGTGTAACATCAGGATTTAATGACAGCATTTCAGCAGCCACTATAACACTGTCACAGTACAGTTGGTGAATACTAATGCTGGACAGAAAAGCAAGAAGCCTGAAACCACTTCTTTTTTGGTATTCTTTTGTCCCCTTAGGAACACAAATAAAGGCAGCTGACTGCTCTATAGCAACAGCACTGGTCAGGGAGTTCAAGCCAACTGGCAACTCTCAAAGTTTAGTGAAAAATTAATGAGAAGTAGAAAGAGTACAGGATATCTTTCTACATTAATTTTCTCTTCCTGGAAAGGTTACATATCATTTAAAAGCAAACAAACAAACTAAAAAATAGGGTGATCAAATAAGAACCACCCAGGGAAAAATACATCACACTGAAATAAGTTTCACTTGAATCAGAACTGGAGGTCATAATTTATCCATATGGAATCACTACACAAAGCCAGTATCAACCCAAAACTATTGATGTATGGAATTGTCCCTTGAGACTCACAGCACTAAGAAAAATTATTTATGTAAAATTTCAAATAATGCAGTTTGTTTAGTTGTCTGGCTGAGCTTCAAAGGACAATTTTGAGTGGTTGTAGGAACTGGCAGTAAGTCAAGCCTATCTCAGTGCAAAAGAAAGGGCCTGCTGGTATTTGAAAAGTAATAACTAGTCTTCTGGTTGCCTAAGCATGAAGCCACCTTATTTTCTTTAATCATGAAAGCACTTAATACAGTGACAGTAAAATATTTTAAATGAACAGCAATCTTGCCTGCAGGTCCTGGGCCAGCCTTAGCAGAAATCCACAGTATCATACATCCAGGAAAGAAAAACACAGCTTTGCTCCCTCCCTGTCAAGAGTAAAAGTTCTGGGATGTAATGTAAGGCCCACAGGACCCACACAGGATGACTATAAGTCAAGAGGCTGCACAGTAAGTGATGATATCAGAAAAGGGGAGAGCACCAAAAGCAATAGCATTGCCACATCATCCGTGGTTTTTGAAGCAGTGCTTTCTGGAAATCCACAGGGGTTTACACAGCTAGAAGTCAATACCAGCTCTTCAGCTAGCCGATCTTTTCAAGGTAGTAAAATAAAATAGTAAAATACAGTTATTTTTCTACATTTTCCCCACTTTCTATTTTTCCTCCCCACAATGGAATGTTAACTATATTGTACAATATAGCTCTATACCTTATGCTGTCTGATGATAAACTGTGATATCTTATTTCAACTCAGTTATAATTGGAGAGAAAACAGAAACCTTTTGATGTAAGGCAAGATGCCAAGCATCCCAAAACCTGACAGAAAAGAGTTTTGTTTTCCCCAGAAAAATTAATTAGTCTAATTGTCCAGTTCTGGGCTCCCCAGTACCAGAGGGATGTGGAGCTGCTGGAGAGAGTCCAGCGCAGGGCTACCAGGATGATCAGAGGCCTGGAACATCTGCCATATGAGCAAAGGCTGAGAGAGCTGGGCCTGTTCAGCCTGGAGAAGAGGAGGCTGAGGGGGGACCTGATCAGTGTCTATAAATACCTCAAGGGAGGCAGTGAGGAGTAGGGGGGCGGCCTCTTTTCAGTGGTGGACAGTGATAGGACTAGAGGAAATGGCTTCAAACTGAAGCATCGGAAGTTCCACAGGAACTTAAGGAAGCATTTCTTCACTGTGCGGGTGACAAAGCACTGGAACAGGCTGCCCAGAGAGGTTGTGGAGTCTCCTTCTTTAGAGATCTTTAAAAGCCGCTTGGATGCAGCCCTGTGCCACGTGCTCTAGGTGACCCTGTGTGAGCAGGGGGGTTGGACTCGATGACCTCTGAGGTCCCTTCCAACCTTCGGCATTCTATGATTCTATGATTCTAATTAATTGTTATTATTACAGAAGTACAAATATTTGCATTCCTATATGATTTTTAAGGCTGAGTAGCTGCTGATGACTGCATTTCCTAGAACATGAAAAGTTTTTTATTCCAAAAGATTGAGAATTCTTTAGAAAACATGATCATATTTTACATCAAATACATATAAAGCCCATTAAAAAAAAAGCAATGGATAAACAAAAAATATGATCTCCTAAGGAACCAGATTTAGATCTCCTCTGAAACAAAGCTGGGCATTAGCAACACTGAACTCACT